TTTGTAGTGTTTTGTTGAGGGTTTTTAAATATATTTTTTCCTATTTTTTAAGTATACTTTTGGTTTCAAGATTTAAAAAAGTAATTACACTAAACTTATTGTGGTAATCATTTTGCAATGTATTTATGTCAAGTCATTACGTGGTATACTTTAAACTTACACAGAGCTCTATGTCAATTATATCTCAATAAAACTGGAAAAAAAGTACTTATATAAACATACTCACATCACAACCCCTGGATACACACTGCAAACACACACACTTACTTATCTAGCCAATACACATTTCTGTACAACTAGTGCAAGTACACACACACACCATACACACTCAGTCTACTCGACCATGCATTTATCCCACACACTCACATCACACACACACCACACACACCACACACTCACACCAAACACACCCACATTCACATACACACAGAAATACCCTTCTGTCTAGAACAGTGACTCCATTTCTTACCTCCTACACAGACAAAGTAAGTGTCCCCAGCTGTAACTTCCAAACAGGAATTTACCACAAGCTGGAACAGGGAGAGGGGTGGCAGCGTCAGGGAGAGTGAATGGCGGGCATGGTGAGAAGCCAGCCCATCCCCCTGCTCATATTCAGCCCACACTCACCATGTCAACAATGTCTCTCAGGGAACCAAATCCTTTCTCCGCCTCATACAATTGGTCTTTTCTTTCTACAATACTATTCAGCTACAAAGGAGAGGAGGCGGCTTAGGCCCACGGCCAGGGGTTGAGGGCATCCTCCCAGGAGACAGGCTCGCCTCCAGCCCTGTTAGACTCCAAGGCCAGACCCTGCCGTCTCCCCTCAGCCCACCCTAAGGGAGTGGAAGCTCTTCCGCCATCACTTATGGTGTGTAGGTTTTACACACTTGTTCATTTCTGCAATGGCTGTCTGTTGCAGGACCGTCCTCTGGGCAACCCTGGGTAGCCAACTTGGTAGCTCTCCCCAACTAGGCTCATGGTGGCACCTGGTTACCTGGTAATTCTTATAGTCTTTTACACCCACGCAGTAAACCTTGGCTCCCATTTTCCGAGCCCTGTTAGCCTAAGAGAAAGAACTTTTAGTACAAAATATCAAAATATGCGGAGCAAAATGCTAGTAAAGATGGACAGGACTCACTTGGTCCTTAGCACTCTGAGCCGTGTCCAGTGACAATGTTCCAGCGGTCAGAGTGATAATCAGGCTGACAGCTTTGCGGTCTGCAGGAGAAGCAGGGAGGGGCCTGGTCGGTAAAGGCACCCAGAGGGACCTGCCGCAAGCTGCTAGCGCCACAGCACTGCTCCCCACACCTCCTCCTCCCGGGGAGAGGGCACCCAGAACCGAGCACCTGCCGTCCAGAGCGCCTGGAGGGCTCTGCAGCCCACTGCTGGAGGGAGAAGGGAGCTCAGCCCAGGACCCACTTTCCAGATGAGGACACCGAGCCCAGCTCAGGGCCCTTCCTGCTGAACTATCCCCACGACTGGATGGTACAAACTTTCCGCTGAAAGGCGACTGCAGCTGTTTCACTGGACAAGCGTAAGGCTCTCGGGTGAGCAAAGGGAGGAGCAGGCGCCCCCGACTGTACCAGGCCCCGCAGGCTCAGAGGAAGGCCGGCTCCTGCTCCGGCTCTGGGCAGCGCCTGCCCGAGCTCCTGCTGGCATCTGCAGGCCCAGGGCTTCCGAATGCGGGGTCAGAGGTGCTTGAGCGGCTCTAAGCCTTTCCCACCAGGCCCACGCATCTCTACTGACAAGAGCTGTGACCCTACAGTCTAGATGAGGACGGTTCTGGGCCGAGCACAGCCTCTTCCACTGTCGGAGACACAGCCCCAGGACGACAGTCAACCAAGGGAAGAAGCTTATGGCAAAAGGAGTCAGAGCCAGAAAGGGGAGTGAGACAAAAGTGAGGTCAGCAAAGAGAAAAGCAAGCTCTTTTTCTGAAAGCTGAAGCCTGTCTGCTCTAGGTCGCCGGGCTGTTTTCTTCGTTCTCATGCAGCCCAACTGTAGGTCGAGACCTCCTGTTTACTAGGAACCCAGGACGTGCACACATGATCCCTTGGAGGTCTGACAAACATCACTGGGGGTGGTTTGTATCCTCACTGCACAGCGGAGGAACCTGCAGCTCAGAGAGGGCAGGCAACTTGCCCCAAGAGTCAGCGCTAGGGAGTAGCTGAGGTGGGTCTGCACAGACCTCGCTGAGGCCCAGGCCTGGCTCTGTCCCCGGACCTGCCCATGACGAAGCCAGCAGGCAGCTTACCTCTGGAGTACACTTTTTGAATCTGCTCATTTGCCTGCAAAGGAATTTAGGAATGTTGAGGGAGGACAGTGAGATGAGCGAACAGTACTCTAAGAACTTGATAAAGCAGAAAACATTCTCAGGGCCCCAGCAGTGTGTACCTTCTTAAATCCCTCATGCATGTTTGTGGCTCCTGTAGGCACTACATTCTGAAGTCTGCTAAGACCATCACGTATCTCATTTCTGAAGAGAATCAGAAAAGGGAGTTGAGGTGGAGTGAGGGGCTGATGATGGAAAAGTAGCCCCACGCTGTCCTGGCACAATTCTACACCGTGCAGACCTGCCCGGAGTGGAGCAGACACAGTCAAGTGGCCCTGTCATGGTCTTTCTGCTCTGTGTCGTTGAAACGGAAAGGTGTTCCATGTCCCCCATCTGGTGAGCATGAGGGGGGATGCTGGTTTGCTGGTCCCAAGAGTATGGCCTGGCTTTCAATGGGCTCACGCCTGTCTCAGGCACGCAGACCTCAGGGGACCTCACCAAGGGCCCTGCCTTGACCGTCCATGGTGGGAGTGGGGAGCATCCAGGGAGGTTCACCTGTGATTCCGGCACACACAATGTGCCTGGCAGGACTGCAAAGCACCCAAGGGGTCCCTCAGCAGGGCACACTGTCCTCCAACAGGTAAGGCTAGTTTGGAAAAGGTCATCCAGCTGATGCCTCCCTCTCGCTCCCATTCTCCCTGCCAGGGACCCGAGTTTGACTCGGTGCCTCCAAGCCTCTCCCACTTCTGTAGATGGCGCTAAGGGAAGTAGCAAAGATGCTTAATTAGAGTGCTAGGCTCCTGGACTTCATGTGTCCGAAAAGAAAAGACCAAAGCTGGGACAGTGGCCCTGAGGGCTGTCCAAGCAGGCAGAAGACCAGTGGTCCTCAGCCTGCCACGGGGATGTAGCCTGTCAGCCACTGTTAACCCTGAAGCACAGGCTGGGACTGGGACACAGGACGGGGTGGGGCTTAGGTCCAGGCTAATCTGATGTGACAGAGCTGAGCTGGCACACCAAGGCTCAGGAGAGCACGGCCCCTGAAGGCTGGCTTCTCTCTGCAGGCAGAGATGCTACCATGGGGTGAGAGCTGAGAGCCAGGGTGCAGTCCTGCCCAGTCCAGCCCAGGAGGTGAGGAAGCCTGACTCCCAGGGCCAGTGGAGGCCAAACCAGGCCCTGCCCAGCCCAGCACAAACACCCTCCCCTCCTCTCTGAACATTCTGGAAGATTTCCAGTTTGTCAACAGCACTCCTGAATATTCTGGAACTCTCAGCCCTCGCAGTCTCTGGCCCAGGACCCAGCTCAGCCAGGCTTTGCTCTTGCCTGAGCGAGCTCTCCCTGATGTGGCCCCTCTAGCCCAAGTCACCCCCTACTCCCAGCTCTGCTCACAGAGGGATGACAGGCTCCTAGCACCCTCAGCAATTCCTCCTCCTCTTAAAATACCCCTCTCAACCCCTAAGAGCTCCCTCCACCTCTTGCCGGTTCTCACTTCCGCTGCCATCACCCCTGGGGGCTTTCTAGCCCCTGTGCTGTCTGGCTCCTCTAGCACCCAGCGCAAGCTCCTCTGTGGACTGCGTCATCCTCTGCCTGTACCCCTAGCCAAAAGGGCTCAGAAAGCCCAGGCCCACGTTCTGGGCAGACCCTCCAGAATCAACCCTCTCCTTAAGCTCCATTGGCCCCTTCTGGACTCACCCTACATGCCAGGGCCCACTGCGGCCCTCTGCCATACCCCTCCTCAACTCATAGGCAGTGGCGCACTTTGGGGAATGGCCAATCCCAGGCTGGGCCCAGCTCCAATCAAGATGCTGTGGGCTCCTTGGGAGCAGGCAGATCTAGGGCCCTCAGCTGACTCTGAGCTGTCTTCCCAGGTGCACATCAACCCCGCCCCCAGTGTTTCATATCTTTCCCCTCCCCCAAGTCGCACTCCCACTCCTGACACCCTCCCTCAGGGAAGACGGCCCCATCTTCACTTTCCAGAGAGGACCCCGGAGGCCCTCCATGAGCTTCCCCACAGCTTCTCGTGGTTTGGGCCCTGAGCCCTTGCTTTGGGGGAGGTGGTGGGCTTCCTCTCCCCCAGGGCTGCTCCTCTACCTGAGGCCCATGCCCAGCTCCTGCCGCCTCTCTCTCTGCTACCTGCCAGAGTCCTTACCTACAGACTTGCTTTCTTCCACCTCAAACCCACTCAGATCTCTCTCTCCCTAACGTGAACCCCATGCACCCACAAAACCACTCCTTCCCCTAGCCCATGGAGCAGCCAGCCCACTCCCTGCCTCTCCTGGGAGTCAGATATGGGCAAGCACTCTCCATGCACTGGCACCACCACACCCCTCCCCTGCAGCCTGGCTGTTCCTGCTTACTCTGCTGTACTTGGCTTCTCTTCCCAGGTCCCAAACAGTGGCTCTGTCTCTCAAATCCTGGGACCCATCAGTCCTAAATGGCCTCACCTCTCTTTCGTGTTTCACCCACTCTGAGTTGGGTTCCAGGCATTTGCATCCACGAGAATCTGAACCTCCCAGCTACTCAGAAGCCCCATAACTTCCCACCTCCAGGCCTTTGGGCACACCGCTGGGCCCACCTAGGATACGGGTGCACATGCCTCCCTCCAGCACCCCAGCCCACTCTCATGTTCAGGACCCCACTCATGGGTTCCCCTGCCTCAGACCCACCAAGGGACCAGGCTTCCCTCCACTGAAGCCCCCAGCACTTTGACGCTGCCCATGCCTTCCTCCCTGGTTCTGATTCTGTCTCCCCCCTCCCCCCACTGGCCCAGGGCAGAGAGTGACACCCACAGCAGGTGCCCAACACAGGCCAGTGTTCACAAAGGACCCGAACATCTGCTCCACCAGATCCCAGGAGTCCTCACAGGCAGCCCATTCTATGAAAAGTGTAGAGTGCCCAGGAAAGGACTCAGGACCGGTGCAGGGTGGGACTTAGAGGGGTGGAGATGGTCTCGAAGCACATGGGTCTGACAGTGCCAGTGCAGCCAAGGGTCAAAGGGGTTAGGCGGCTGGGGGCTGGGGGTCAGGTGGGCACTGAGGGGAGTCCAGGCCAGCCCAGCCTGCACACCAGTGGGCTCCCCACTGAGGTCTCAGGGAACCCCTCAGCTCCTTGGCTCTCCCTGCAGCCCCAGCCACCAGGTCTGCCTTGGGGATCAGAGCAGCCCTTACCTGTCTGAGGTGAGCTTCATGAGGGTGTGGCCCTGTGTGGAGTACGTGATGAAGGACATCCGCAGTTTCGGGCTGGGGAGGAAGCAGGCATTCGGGAGAAGCCATAAACACAGGCTCAAATGATGCCAATGTGCAGCCAGGGACAGGGTGCATGCCAACCTCCCTGCTCCCCACCCCAACTCTGCTGCTTTGGGGCCCGTTTTCCAAACCGCAGAAATTCCCGTAACTTCAGTGAAGGATTCTGAGGCTTGTGGAGATGTGGGGCCTTCTGGGCAGAGAGTGCCAGCACGGCACCCTGCTCCACCCCTATACCCCAACATCCCACAAGTCTCTCTCTCTCGAACACACACACACAGGCACACACACTCCGGAATGTGCACAGTGCACATAAAGGAGACACACACCTACACACTCCTGCATGAGGGTCTCTCAACTGGCCTCGCGTCTACCTTAAAACTCTTAGACCTTTTATCCCCTTCCCTCTTCTATTGCCTTTTCCACGTCCCTCTCATCTCAAAACAAATTATTCTGCTTTCCAGCCATTCATATGATTTTTTGGTCTACAACAGACAACATATAAGATAGTGGTGCCATAAGATTAGTACCATATAGCCTAGGTGTGTGGTAGGTTATACTGTCTAGGTTTGTGTAAGCACACTCTATGATGTTCACACAATGACAGAATTGCCCTAGGACGCATATCTCAGAATGCATTCCTGTCATTAAGCGACACATGACTGTGCATCCCTCCCTTTCCTCTCCCTGGCCACTGTCTTCTGGTCCGTTGACCCTCATCTTTTAGCTAAATTGCTACCACAGGTCCCTTGATGAGCTCCCTACTGCTCCTGGCTGTTGTTCCAACTCATTTTATCCATAATTATCACTTTTTTCCCTAAAGCACAACATTTATCATGTCACATACCTGCTCAAGAATCATCTATAGCTCCCTATTGGTCGCAGCAGGAAATCCAAGCCCCTTGGCCTCACATTATGAGCCCTGATGGCCTTGACCCCAAGTTGTCCTGTCCAGCCTCATCTCCCAGCCCTCCCCTGAGTTAACGCTACCCTCCAGCCAAACAGACCACGCTCTCCACAAGAAGTTTCCTCTATACCTCCTGTTACCTAGCCTTTCCCCATCCTTCAAGACCGAGTTCAAATTTCCACATCCTCTAAGAAGCCATCTTTGACTTTTTCTCTAGGAATTCTTGCTTTTTCTTTTAAGTTGCCATGTAAGTCTTTTGTCTCTTTCTTTGGGTTTTTGGCACTGTTTAACCCGGTGTTCAGTTACTGAGTTACTGGTCTGCCTGTCTTAACTTCCTTTCCCAGTCTGTGAGGTCCTTAGGGGCAGACTGTGCCCCCTGCTATGTGGCCTGACTCCCAGGCAGGAGCCAACCAAAGCTGCTGAGATCGAATTGAGCCAGTAATTCTTGCCCTTCCTGCTTCTGAACACTGCCCTAGGCTCTGTGCTCCTGACCTGAGGGACTCCCATGCCCACCGAATCTAAACAGCTGTGTATTCTGCCTGGCAGAGGAAAACACCCTGTAGCTTGGAGAAGCCGTACTTTTGGAACTTCTTGACCATTTCATCCACAAATTTGTGAACATGCTTCCAATTACCATTCACGCTGTCCGACCTGAAAACAAAGGAGACCTCAGTCAGAGGGATAAGGCGCGTCCATTGAGTGGGCAGAGTTTCTGCCTCCCTACCTTCCAGCAGGCCTTTAGCAAGACCCACCCGCCTCCCCATGTAGCTGCAGACTGCCACACACTCCCAGTGACCTCTGTGGTTGACCCTGGTGGTGACTTTCATCTGTGTGAGTGGTGGGGAGGGTGACCAACCAGACCTGTGTGTTGGGACTGAGGGCCTTCCAGGAATGAGGGACTTTAGGTGGCAAACCAGGATGACTGGTCACACTAGGTAGGGCTGTTAGACAAGAAGTGAGGGAGGATGCATTGGCTGGAAAACAGTTCTGATTCTGATACTTTGGCTCTCCTGGTCCACCACTTCTCTTTGAAAATAATCATTCCCAGCCATCTACTCCTCTCCTACCCCTTAAAGGTGTCTGTGGTTGGATTGGGGGGCAGGGCACAGCTCTCTGTCACCCTACGCCATCATGAGCCTCTTGGAAGCAACAGCTCCAGGTTCAGAGGGTAATCCAGGCCTATCCTGTAATCCCCTGCTGGACTCTTGTATTCTTGGGCATCAGACTATGCTGACCAGCCCCTTTAGTTTGGGGATCTATTTGGAAGCCTGTGTCTGATCTGCCAACCCTTCTTCATGACACCCCCAAATTCTGTTCAGTCATTCACATTTCCCAGCACCCACAGATACAAGAAGAGACATTCCCAACAGAAGCCTGGGCCTCAGGCCAAGGAGACTGTGCTACTCATATGATTTTATTTCCGTTCTTTATTATCAGCCTGCAAATCTGAGCCCCTCTGGACACAAAAGCCCTTTCTAAGCAGCACTGCCAGGAGAGGGGCAGGAACAGGCCTGGGCCACTACTGTCCTGTGTCATCATGCCCAAACCAACAGGGAAAACCACAGGTCCTTCCTGTTCCTACTTTCAGTTTCTTGACCCCATCAGATCCCACTTTAGTCCCCGGAAGGAGGAGGCTGAAGGGGGTTGGGGCCTCATGACTCCTTCTGTCTAGGTGGGAAGCACTTATGTGTGCTCTACCTGCTCAGGGTTCAAAGGTCTTTGCTATCCCAGATCTCTGTAGGTCTGCACTATTCAAGATTATGGAGGGCAAATGTGAGGCTCACTGACTGTTTTGCTCAAGGTTCTGCAGATGGTAAGGGGTGAAACTGAGGCTGGTGACCTGGTCTGGGCTCTTTCCCTGGAAATGTTGGCTCATATCTTTAATATGGCCTGTGAGTCAGAGGAGCCCTTCCTCTCACCTTCAGTGATCACCATGCCCATAAATATCCTGAGTGTCATGTTTATATGTGTGATCCCCACATACCCAAGAGCATCCTTCTCCTCTCTACTATTCCGTCTGCCTCCTCTAGGCTGCATCTAAAACTGTCAACAGATGGTGATGACACTAAGGATAGATGACAATGATATCAGGATTATCATTCACGGAGCACGTATATACCAGAAACTTTACATACATGGCTTCCAATTCCAGAACAACCCTATGACATCAGCATCGTTCCCATTTTATGAGGAGAAAATCGAGGCTCTCACAGGTCAAGGAATTTGCCAAGATTTCCATGGCTAGCATGGATCTGAACCAAGATCTAGCTGTAAAACCCATGCTCTATCCATTGCACTTGGCAGATCAGGGTGACACTGCTGTGTCTGACAATTGCTGGGTAGCAAAGCACTAGACTCAGACAATCTCCACAATACTGACTTTCTCTTGAAAGATCCATGCTAATGTGCAAGACGACTCCTTTCCTAACTATTGGTAACACTTTCCACTTTCATTCTCATTACTCATTACTCCTCTCCTGTTTCCCCCCTGAGTGAAGAGGAGCTTCCAGAGAAGATTTATAGGAAGCAAGAGTCTTCAACCCACCTGCCTACTCTGGGAAAGTTTCCAGTTTGTGATTATTTTGAAGCAAGGTATAGAATCTAAAATACAGAAGAATGCAAGTGCTCATCGGCAGTGGAAAATGCCACAGGGACCTACAGGACCCTAGGAAGGAGACTATGTAACAGAGCAACCATTTGAGCTTCTGGCACACAGAGCTCCAATCATGTTTTAGTGCCCCACTCTTAAATGAGAATGGCGAGAGGAGGATCACTAGACATTTGAGGACATCTCTACTATTAAAGCTTGAGGCCAAACATCCTAGCGATATAACTACCCTGAAACAATGGAAGTGGGTGGGGCAGAGTCATGTGGGGGAGCTGAGCTATAAGAAAGCTCAATTCTTTTCCCCCATAATAAGAAGTCAACAGAGAATGTGCACTCTCAACCAGCAGTCAGTAAAAGCATGTTATTAGAAACAAGGCCATAATACCAGAAGAAAAATCTAGAAGATTTGTAAGTGGCTGCCTCTCAGAAGTGGGATCAGAAGTGGGGAGGAGTGGGTAAGAGCTGTAAGTTTTTTGTCGTGAACTTTGTAATAGTGTTTGTTTGTTTTTTGTGAGGAGATCAGCCCTGTGCTAACATCTGCCAACCCTCCTCCTTTTTTGCTGAAGAAGACCAGCCCTGGGCTAACATCCACGCCCATCTTCCTCCACTTTACATGGGATGCCGCCGCAGCATGGCTTGCCAAGCAGTGCGTCGGTGCGTGCCCAGGAGCCAAACTGGCGAATCCCGGGCCGCCGCAGCAGAGTGCGCGCACTTAACCACTTGCGCCACCAGGCCGGCCCCTAATAATGTTTGATTTTAAAATTATTTTCACTCCCACCAGCAGTGCATGAGAGTTCCCTTCTCTCATACACTGCTGGTGGGAGTGCAAACTGGTGCAGCCACTATGGAAAACAGTATGGAGATTCCTCAAAAAATCAAGGATAGAACTACCATATGATCCAGCTATTCCACTGTTGGGTATTTATCCAAAGAACTTGAAAACACCAATTTGCAAAGGTACATGCACCCCTGTGTTCATTGCAGCATTATTCACAATAGCCAAGACTTGGAAGCAACCTAAGTGCCCATCAAGGGACGAATGGATAAAGAAGCTGTGGTATATATACACAATGGAATACTACTCAGCCATAAGAAACGATGAAATCCAGCCATTTGTGACAACATGGATGGACATTGAGGGTATAATGCAAAGTGAAATAAGTCAGAGGGAGAAGGTCAAATACCATATGATTTCCTTCATTAAGTAGTAGATAATAACAATAAACAAACACATAGGGACAGAGATTGGATTGGTGGTTACCAGAGGGGAAGGGGGGAGGGGGGAGGGTGAAAGGGATAATTCGGTACATGTGTGTGGTGATGGGTTGTAATTAGTATTTTGGTGGTGAACATGATGTAGTCCATGCAGAAATAGAAGTACAATGATGTACACCTGAAATTTTTACAATGTTATAAACCAATGTTACTGCAATAAACAAAAAATTAAAAAAAAATAAATAAAATTATTTTCAAACATTTCTTTGATAAATGTAAAAATGAAATTACAAACAAAACTAGTAGCATGGAGGATGTCAGTAAAATGTCAGATTCTGAAACACTAAGCCCTCGTTCCTCCCTGGAAACATCATAACAAACCACTATAAGCTATCTGCATCAAATTTGTAGGAGCTCCTAGAAAAATAATAAAAGGTTTACAACAATAAGGCAAATGTGCAATCAAGAAATAGCCATCTTAAAAATAGTAGGAAAGTTTTATGGCATTTTAAATCACTCTTCTCCCACTCCTTCCTGGAATGGTGGCAGTTTTGGTCTTATCAGTGGCCCAGTTCCAAGTTTTCTTTGAACTAGAGGAAGAAATGTAGGCCTTACTTAAAAATTATTGTGTACATCTGTTCTAATCTGGCTGGGGTCAATTCGGATGTTCAAAAGCAGCTGTAGCCACAGGCTGAACTGAAATCCACACTTATGCCCAGCCAGAATCATACTCAGAAGAGTCCTGAGAAGACCTTAAGCTTTAACTTTGGGCTGATGCTTAGGCTCAGAGTAAGCCTAACTAAGAAGCAAAGGAATGCCCTAGCAAAGAAGCATTCTGCAAAGACTGGGAAAGGTGGCTATTTTCCATGTTTTGTTTTAAATTTTTGTGGTGGGTTTGTTTGTTTCAGCCCCTGGCATTCAAGGAAATCTGTTAAAACTTTAGCTAAATATGAGCTAAAGGAACAGAAACTCCACTGATCACACACAACAAAGATTATTCCTTGCAAAAATAGTTAGGAAGGATCTGAAAACAAAGAGAATGTTAGACACTTCTACAATAAAAAACAAAAGCAAAAAAATATCCTAGTACTCATGGGAAATTCTGATTTGCAGAGTACCACATTATAATAATCAAAAACCCAATTTTCAGGGGCCAGCCCAGTGGCACAAGCGATTAAGTGTGCACGCTCTGTTGCGGCGGCCCGGGGTTCGCCAGTTTGGATCCCCGATGCGCACCGACGCGCCGCTTCTTAAGCCATGCTGTGGCAGCATCCCATATAAAGTAGAGGAAGATGAGCATGGGTGTTAGCCCAGGGCCAGTCTTCCTCAGCAAAAAAAAAAGAGGATTGGCATTGGATGCTAGCTCAGGGCTGGTCCTCCTCACACACACACGCAAAAAACAAACAAATCCATTTTCAATAAAAGAAATCACAAAATATACAAAGAAACAGGAGGACACATCTCATTAAAAGGAACTAATTAAATCTGCAGAAACTATCCCTGAGGAATCCAAGGCATCAGACTTAGTAGAGAAAAAGACCTAAAAGCAACTATCTTGAATATGCCTCCAAGGTAAGCTAAAATGACAAAAAATTAAAGAAAATCAGGAAAGTGATAAATTAAAAAAATGAGTGTACCAAAAAAGAGACATAAATTATTAAAAAAACAAACAGAAATTCTGGAGATGAAAAGTGCAATAACTGAATTGAAAAATTCATCAGCGGAGTTGAGCAGGCAGAACAAAAAAATCAGCCAAGTTAAGGATATGACAATTGAAATTTTCGAGTGACAGGAGCAGAAAGGAAAAACAATGAAGAAAAGTCATCAG